ACGTTTCGAATGGTGCTGAATACAAACCTTTTTGTCCAGTGTGCAGTATGGAGCTGTGTCCTTCTCCTTTAGGCCTGGACAAAGAATGTGTAACTCTCTTTACCACTGACTCCCTCCACTTCCTGCATGAGCTGATTTCCACATTTGATGAGGAGGTGGACGAGGTAGGACAGCCAAAAAACCTCTTTGTGAATAAACGAAGGACTTGTTTGAGTCAGGCTGATTCTCTCTTCAGATTCTACAGCTGAGAGTGTCTAAAAAGGCCCAGCTGGATCTCACAGGTGATCTGCCAAGCTTCCTGGAAAGCACCAGACACATCAGGAGAGACCCAGACTGGAAGGTCCTTCCCGTCCCCTCAAGGCTCCAAAAGAGACATGTAGATATTGGAGACTTGGCACCCTGCGATACTGAGCACTTCATTAAAGCTCTTCTGTCACCAGCACAAGGCATACAGGTGCTACACAGGTGCAATAATGCAGAGCTAAAGGTGTAATGTTCACTGCTAACACTGGGTTTGCTCATGTCAGGTTGTTTTGTGTTGGTTTCAGCATTATCAAACTCACAATTCCAAAAAAGGTCAGACTTGTAAATACAGACAGATGTAATGATTTGCTAATTTCATAAACCTGTTTTACTGACAACAGAACATGAAGTGTTTAAAACAACAGAATTTACCATCTGTAGGATCATAGTTGCTCAACAGTCCTTGGTCTTCTTTGGTCACACATTAGGTGTTTTACATTGGTGAAATTTATTTATTTGGTTGTTTCAAACAGGTGAATAAAATGGGGAGGAGTTAGCTGAACCAGAACCAACACCCTCGCTAGATTCGTTTCCTCTTAGACCGTTTAATCGAATGTCTGCCAACCAGTTTGAACACTGTTCACCTCCCAGCTGCACAGTCTGGGTTTGTTAAAAAACCGAATTCTTAATATTGATTTTTTATAATCATGTCTGACATCGTTACCTAAATTTATATATTAATGTTGTTTCTTCTGAGTCATTGCTGACTTTTTTTCTTACAGAGCTCTTTTGGTTTCTGCAGGTTGACTTTGATGATGGAAACTGCCCGACGTATTACAACCAGATCAAAGGCATTTACAATGTTTTTAAAGCAGTGCATAACCTGTTTCCCAGTAAGAGCTCTACTTCACCTTCATCTTCAGTTTACTCTGAGAGACACAGTCCGTACAATCTCAGTAAAAAGAAAGAACATTATATTGTCTTTACTCGTCCGCCTTCACATACACATGAGCTTGAGTGACAGCCAGGCTTAATCCATAGGGTTTAATATGATATCTTTCTACACTGTGCAGCTTCACCTCTTTTGGGAAGAACTTCTAGAAGGTCTAGGAGTATATTTATGGGAACATGTTACCGTTCTTCCAAAAACACATTTGTGAGAAGGAGCAAATCTGAACGTGAAGTTTAGAGGTCTGTAGCTGCTGTCTGTGCAGAAAGTTGGTGACTTCTGCACACTGGGCCACATGACCCTGCTCTGTAATTTTACCCGGGCTACCACTTTGTTTCTGTTGTTCTCGTCCACTCCTACTTTGATATAAGACTTGAATGTGGAATATTTAGCAGCAAGGAAATGTGTCCTTCATCCTCTCACTGTGCTGGAATTCCCTGAGCTCCTGAGAGTAACCCTTTGACTTTTTTACATTGAAGTTTTAACTTGTAAATTCGTAGAAAAATCCTTTAAAAAAGCTGTTTTTATTTTTACCATGTTTTCTCATAAGCTATTCCTCTGGCGTCCTTCGTCTGCAGATGTTCCACATGTATCTCAGGCTCCCGTGCTGATGCTGCGTCCCCGTGCGTGGAATATGGTGGAGCACAACATGATGGTAGTATTGAATTTTCATCAGTTTGTTACAGTGGTTGTTTTGTTGGAAGCAATCGAATGTGGTCTGAATACATAGACATAAGGGGCACAAATTCACTGAAATAACAGAAGTGGCACTAAGGATCATATACATGACAGGACTGGTGAGGAAAACAACACGTGTGCTTTTCTGTGGTCAGGTGGAGGGGAAAGAAGCTCCTGGCCCGCTCTTTGACTTTGGGCTCCTCATGTTTCACTGTGGAAAGGCACTGTTCGAACACAAGAGTGGACCCTTTTTCTACCTGTCCAAAGTAACACACGTGCAAACCTACATATGTTCAAACATGCTGATGATTTCATTTATCTGGGCTTGCACTGTTATCCTTTGTTCTGTAGGTGGAGGGCTACATGGAGGCCAGACTCTGGAACAAAATATTTGTTTGGACACAGCAGAAGGTTTGCACTGTTTTTGGTCTTTATGTATAAACTTGTTTTTGTACTATGTCTTGTGTTTCTGGCTTGTAGCCGCTGTGCACTGGCCCTACAAGCACTGACAGCAGCCTAACACCGGCCTGCCACCTACCTTCCCTGTGCTCTCATGCACCTTGTAGAAGAGAGTTTAATGTGGAAGAAGTGTTTGATAAAGACTGACAAACAAAAGAGAAAAAAGATGGAGCTGAAAAGCTAAAAGCTCCTTTATCCTTTAACCTCAGGCCCTCTACAAGAGGCCGAGGTGAACTGAAGGCCGTGAGCCTAAAGGGACTGGATGCATTGTTGACTGCTTCTATACGTATCTGACTGAATCCATGTCTCACATGTGTCTAGCTGGGTCTTCCTCTGGGCAGCATCAAGGCCACAGTGCTGATTGAAAATGTGTTAGCAGCCTTTGAGATGGAGGAGATTCTCTATGAGCTGCAAGAGCATTCAGCAGGACTCAACTGTGGCATCTGGGATTACTCAGCCTCCTTTGTCAATAAGTTTGGTGAGTTGAAAATTCTAGATTGTAGTCTGTGAAAAATCTGGACCCCACGCAGCGTTCAGGTGACTGTTTTCTGTTTCTTTTATTTAACACACAGAAATGTTTCTTTGTGGTTTGGCACCGAGGTCTTTTACAGGCAGTCAGCTTTGCATCTGACTCCACACTCTCAGGTCTCTAGTCTCAGGTCCCTGGCGTTACTAAAAGGAAGGAGACCTCGTTAGCACAACACCTGCCTCATCAGCCTTTCCTGCGCTGCCCCTTGAGCCCCCTGCACCACCCCTCCATGGCAGCAGAGCCAGAGACCACACCGCCTCACTGAGGCCGGGGCTGCATCCAGCCAAACCTAGACCCGTCAGTCAAAGGGCTGAGGGAACCGCCTAACCTCCTTTTTGGTCTCGGGATGGGGCAGGATCCAATGGCGGCCATGTCCTGCATCTGTGGGCGCACCTGCACGCCTCACAAGTGGTAGCCCAAATGCCTGGGGCAGCTCCAGCACTGCAAACAACAGAGGGGCTAGCCAGCACTCTCAATTGCATTCATCCTTGTGAATGAACTTATGGACTTTTAAGTCTTATTCAGCTGCTCCACCAGCCCGTCACTCTGAGGATGGTAGACGCTGGTCCGAACAGATTTAATGCCCCCTAATTTATACACCTCTTTTAGTGTGTGAGACATGAATGATGGGTGCTGGTCAGTCAGTATCTCTTTCAGGATGCCACTCTTTGCAGAAATGGTGTGCAGTGGCAATGCTTCTGGATATCGCGTTAATAATACACCAGAGCTAATACAAAGTGATAGCCACTTGCACTCTGGTGATGGCCCGATTAAGTCCATACCTAAGCGTTTAAATGGGATCGCCCTTAATCGCAGTGAGTGCAAAGGCGTTTTTGCAATGGCCGGCTGGCTAACCAACTGACATTCAGGGGTGGATGTGGGAGTGGGAAAGAACGGGTTTGGCAGCCGTGCGCTGGGTGGCTGTGAAACCCGTTCTTTCCCACTCTGCCAGCCGACTGGCTGGCTGCCCCACTCTGCTCCTTCTGCCATGGCTGCCAGGTGGACAGCCAGGGTGAGCGCAGCCTCCAGGCTCGCTGACCAATGGCAGTGGAACCGGGCAGCCTCTCCACGAACTGCTCGACCTTTGCCAACACATGGGCCTCACCCTCTGATGGCTCAGGCTGCAGCCACCTCATCACATCATGCAATTTCCAGGCCCACGTGAATGGCCGGTCCTCCCCCTTCATCTGGCTGGCCCAGAACCACCAGCAATGATCTTCCAGGCGATCCAGCACAGCCGGACAGATGTCCCAGAAGTTACCTCGTGAGGCTGGTGGCAGGCGGTGCCGTCTGGTCCTCCCCTGACAACAGCGGCAGCAGCCACGGTGCACCACTCTGCTGCAGGCCACTGGCGCACCTCCCCTGTGGCCCAGAATGCCTTCAGGAAAACCTGTGGGTCATCACCTTTCCCCATCCAGTGCACAGTCACCTCCAGAGCAAGGGGGGGCAGCAACGGGGTCACCCTGACCAGCCGCTCCAGCACCTGCATCTGCCCGTCAGCCTTTTTCCGCAGCTTGTGCAGCTGATCCTTCTGGGCAGCTGCCTCCTCGCGTTGCATGGCCACTATCTCTGCCAGCATCTGGGCCAGCAACTAAATCGGCTGCGCGGGGGGCGTGGCCTGAGGGTCGGACTGTGAAAAGTCTGGACACACAGAAATGTTTCTTTGTGGTTTGGCACGAGGCCTTTTCCAGACAGTCAGCTTTGCAGCTCTCTCGTCTCAGGTCCCCTGCACCACCCCTCCACTGCAGCAGAGCTAGAGACCACACCCCTGTCATTTTAGGTTTTTTCCTTCATTTCTGCACCAATTCTTGTGAAACCACAGATCTTCTACTGAAATTCAGCTGATTTCCATATTGATATTAAAGCCATAGTACTTCAGATAATATAATAATTTTGATATTATGTTTCCAATCTAAATCTGACTGCAAAATAATATTTTAGATTTCCTTTTAGTCAATATTCCTGGGACTTAAGAGTTAAACCGCAGCCTAGTGGAAACTTTAGTAACTCTTAACAGTCCAGCAACTTTTCACAGTACATAAAGTGTACAACAAAGAACATGATCAAAAAGTCAAACTGAATTGAAGAAGTTCTCCAGGTCATCGACCAGCCTTCCTGTTGCCTGACCGCCATAAATACGTGAACATGGAGAAGCATTTTCTGCGCAGCTACATGGATCTGTTGGTTAAGACATGTCATCGGCGAGGAGCACTGGCCACTGGAGGCATGGCTGCCCTGCTGCTGCCTGAAGACCCACTCAGTGACACCTACAGGAGAGTGTTGGCTTCTGTCACAAGGTAGAAATATCTCCCATTAGATACTTGCATGCTCACAGCCTGAACATGCAGGCTTGTACATAGACTGTATGTGAAAAAGTCTTTTTCAGTTTCTAAATAAACGTGTTTATTATTTAGGGGAAAAAATCAATCCTACATGGCCCTGTGTAAAAAAAAGAATTCCCCCCTGTGTTGTACAGAAGACTTGCCCCAGATAAGGTCACTGTTCATGACTCCACCATAAGAAAGAGCAAAACTGGCCTGCATGGCAGATTTCTAAGACGAAGACCACAGCTGAGCAAAAGGAACATAAAGGCTCGTCTCAGTTCAGGAAACATTCTGATGATCCCCAAGACTTCTGGGACGTCTGGGAACATACTCTGTGGACTGACGAGACAAAAGTTAGCTTTTTGGTAGATGCGTGTCCCGTGACATCTGGCGTAACTGTAACAGAGCATTTCGGAAAAGGAACACCATAGCAACAGTAAAATATGGTGGTAGTATGATGGTCTGGGGCTGTGGCTTGCTGTGGTAAATGGAGCCATGAATTCTGCTGTCTACCAAAACATCCTGAAGGAGAAAGCCCGGCCATCTGTTTGTGACTTCAACTTAAAGTGCAGTTGGTCCTGCAGCAAGAGAATGGTCCACCTCTGAATGGCTCAAGGAAAACAAAATAAAGACTTTGGTGTGGCCTAGTCAAAGTCCTGACCTGAATCCAATTGATATGCTTAGGTTATATGACCTTAAACAGGTGGTTCATGCTTGAAAACCCTCAAATGTGGCTGAAATACAACAATTTTATGAAGACGAGTGGGCCAGAATTCCTCCAATGCACTATGAAAGACTCATAGCCAGTGTTGGGGAGTAGCAGAATACATGTACCGCCGTTACGTAGTTAAAATACAAACTATGAGTAACTGTATTCCGTTACAGTTACCGTTTACAAAGGTGGTATTCAGAATACAGTTACTTCGTTGAAATAAAGGGATTACACGGCGGTCTTTTCCTGTTTCATATGTTCGGCTATGCCCTCTCTGTTTTCGGTTCCACGCTGGTGGAAACCCAAACAAAACACGCATTAAGAGGCTCTAATGTCTGTGTCTCAATCTCGCCGCCCGTGTCACCACTGCTTGCAGAAGCATAATGACGTGAAGAAATATGTTAAAGAATTATTCACAAAAATGATTTAATATGAAGGCAGAGTGTTACAGGCATCGCCCTAAAGCATGCAGCCTGATGGGCAGTGTAGTCCGTGCTGCAGGGAGAATGGACTGCCATACCCGTTATGTGTCTGTGAGCGCGAGGAGGGAGAAAAAGGAAAAGTACGAGCTGTCACCGAGCAGAAACGGGAGCTGGAAGCATGTAAATATAATAATAACCACTGCAGCCAAGAAGAGAGCCTGACGAGCCCAGCTGTAAGTAAGCTATTAAGACTCGACTGTACACCGTGTTCCTGTTTTCCTCTGAAACAATAAGCTCCATTGGAGCAGCCTTTCAACGCCTCTTTCTAAAACTTGACCCAGACAACAAAGTAAAGCTAGTTTTCGGCTACGAGCCCGACGTATTAGCCAGAGGTCCCTTTACTACGGTTCGGAGCCTTTATATACCTATTCACACAGGGACATGTAGGTTTGGACTTATCCCCTTAAAAATAAACACATAGTTCTTGCGTGTTATCTTTGTCTAATATTTAAATTTGTTTGATCCACACAGCGTCAGAAATATACATAAAGCATCAAAACTATATGCACCCCACTAATATTTGATTAGAAATGACAAATTACTCCTTGACTAGATGCTTTTTTTAGCCATCAACAAGCTCCTGGCATTGTTTTTGCTAGATACCTGACCATTCTCCTTGGCAGAATTGGTAGAGTTTAAATGATTTGGTTTGATTTTATTTTTATTTACATTTTACAGTGTGTGTTTGTGTGTTTGTGTGTCAGTGTGCGTGGATAAGTGTGTGTGTATAACGTCTGTATTTGGTATATGTGCATTTTATTAAACTCAAGAAATGTTCATTGTTGTTTTCCCCCACAGGTTATAGCATATGAAAATATGACAATACGTACAATCTGAATACATATTCAGTGATGTCCGCTGATCCAGTTGTGTTTTTCCACCTTTCAGGTTGAAGTTATTAGAGATTACTGCAGGTGTGGATGGTTTCATGGTATATGACCTAAATTTGGTTGAGCCCATGCAGAAAGTGAGCGCTGACACATATAAAGCTTTATATGCATATAAAGTTACAGTGATTGGCAAATGTGAAAGTGTGTGGCAATTCTTCATCTTTTCCAGCTCTTCAAGGTCCACACCGAAGGAGATAACCAGCTTGACCAGCTCCGAAATGACGTGACTGTATTTCCTGAAGACTTGCTATCCATGCCTTCAGTTAGTGGTTACTCTTAGTGAACTGCAGAACACACCTCAATAAACTTTTAACAGTAATATTACAGTTAGCATTACATTTAATTGATTGAAATACATCAGATTTTAGTGTGGGTAGGAAGACTTCATCCAACAGGAAGAGGGAGGCTTTCACATCTAGATGATGTTAGGCATGAGTGAAAACATCCTCTATGCATACGATATAGTTTTCTGTCCACAGAATAACCGCTTTGCCTCATTTATTTTAAATGATGAATCAAACATTGTGTTCAAGTTTTGGTGTGCTGTATTCTTCGTAGGGAGGAGTCACGCTTAATGGTTTGAAGTATAACATTGCAGTTGGTGTGCTCTTTATTAATGCTTGGCTATCAGGTTTGTACTTTTATATTATCCATGGAAAAATGCTTAATGCATTAAATGCTATATACCTGTATGTTGATACCATTTTGTGTTTCTAAGGTAAAGGCCACTTCTTCTACAAAGGCCAGGTTGAAGATTCTGCCACAGCAGAAATTTCTAGATCGCAGGTGAGTTCTCAAAGCGAGCACCACAGAGCATATGTTGCTGAGATTCATGTAGAGCTTGATCTACACCCACAAGTAATTAGTATTTAGGATATATTTAAATGTTTTTGACAATGTTGTTTGGGAAACAAGCACATTTCTTTTTTAAATTTGCTCTAATAGATACATATTTAACACAGTGACTAAGATGCACCCTGTAATTTGTTTGTTTGTTTGTTTTTGTTTTTCATTCAGTGTCATGTGGCATGCTTCTTTCTCCTTTTAGCGGCATTTTTTTAAAAGTATCACTGAATAGGTTTTGCTTGTGGGTTAATTACTTCATGTAGTCAGTGTTGGGAAGGTTACTTGTAAAAAAGTAGTTTGTAACATATTCCATGAAGTTACTTAATGTGAGTAACGTGTTCTGAATACTTTGGATTACTTGATATATTGTCATGCCTTTTACAGCTACATGAATGTACTATTGCTGTGTGACTTATTACTGTTACTGAAGGCTACCTGCAACCAAGCTAACATTGTTAGCTGAGGTTAGTTCATCAACTGCAGACTGTTAGACTTGATGGAGTAACAGTAGGTGGACATTAGGTAAGGCTGCACTTTTTGCAGCGATCTCATACAGAAAACTGTTTCTGTATCAGTAATATGTTTTCTTCCTGTCTGCTTTCAGAACTGCACATGATTATTTGCAGCTAGCAGGTTGTAATGCTGCCTTCATTAATAGTAATAAATCACACAGCAGTAGTACATCCAAGATACTGAAGTGGCACGTAACCCAGGTAGTTACCACAACTAAAACAAGCTAGCTGCAGTAGGCTAATGTTAGTTTTTTTTTAAAAAGAACGTACTTCCAGATGTTTCTTCAGGTTGGAGTCTTTTGACGCTGAGAGCAGCTTGGTTGCTGGCAAACAGAGTTTGCATTGCACGGTCAGACTTCATCCCTTTCTTCTTTAAATGTGAAGTGTGTCGGAATTTCCAAGTAAGAAATGCATTGCTGCCCGTGCACTGCTGGCTCTGTTGTGCTGGACATTGTTCTGGTGTTCCCCAGGGTTCTGTACTGGGCCCCAAACTATTTCTTATTTATAAAAATACATTTGTAAAGTATCTGATATATTAAAACTGGTTTTATTTTCAGATGACACAAATAGTTTTGTTCTGGGGTAATCTAATGGAACTGCTGGGTATAGTTTGACAGGAACAAACTATGTAAAACCAAAATGATGTTATTTGTAAATCCTCAATTAAAGTCAAAGTGCAGATTGATCTAGATTGTGTGGAAACTGAAAGACTTCATGAACATAAGGGTCTTGGTGTAATACTGGATTACAAAATAAGATGGAAATCTCATATAAAACGTGTACAGAACAAAGTTTCAAGAAGCATTTCAATATTGAGTAAAGCAAAACACATTCTGGACCACAAATCACTCCACAGTCTTCACACTCACCGTTCACTGATTTCACCGTATTTGAATTACTGGGCACTCAGGTCTGGGTGGAAGTTTTTCTCAAATTTCAGCCTGTAAGATTCATTAGTTGTTTTAAAGAGCAAATGTTCTTTGGCCAGTTTTTAGAAGGGCTGATTGAGAGGTGGAAAGACCGTCACATACAGCTGCTCCATCTTCATCTCTTACACATGAATGCCTTTGACCTCAAACTGCTCCTGTTAACTCCACCTCCTTTATGCACACAGCTGTGGCTCCACTGTAGATGTACCTGTTTGAGGACGGAGATTTAGGCAGTGGGGCAAGATTACCAGCAACAGCACCCAGTTGAATTCCCTCTACAGGAGCTTGCTTACCAAACAACACCTTTCATCCAGCTTTGTGCACAGAGCTCCTTCAGCTATTTTATTCTTGACATTTAAGGATACAGGCACATGAAGTTTGTTAAGTGTGTAAGATTATCTTCCTATCAAACTTAAACTCCATCTACTCTAGTGTCCCCTGGGCTAGGGGTAACCTAGTCCTACTATGAAATGTAACTCCCCACTCTCAAGTAAAGGACAGCAATGCAGAAAAATTCAGGATGCCAGACAGCAGTGTGTTTGCTTCAGAGGTGAGCAATGCCAAACCAACAAAGACTTGAATAACAAATCTTCAAGGTCCATAAGCAATAACCAAGAAAAGAAAATCAACAAAAACACTTCTCACTGCTACTAATCTGCTGCCAGCTGTTCTGTATGTACTGTGGATACGTATTTACAAACATTATTTAACTGCTGCCTCTGTGTTGGGTGCAGAGATGCAAAGTGGCTGTCAGCTGGAGGTTAACAGACCGCAGTCCATCCAATCATGCAATCCACATCTACCAACTTCCACCCAACAGAAGTGGAAGCTAATCCGCCGTCTCCACCTGTGTCACAGGCAGCATACACATAGACATGCACTCGTTCACACCATGGAAGAGGGGAAACTGCGTGCACCTCCACACACTCCGTCAGTGCGCTCCAGGGCAGCTGTGGCTACGATGTAGCTGCCATCACCAGGGTGTGGATGTGTGGATGTGTAAAGCGCTTAGGGGTCCTTAGGGACTAATAAAGCGCTATACAAATGCAGGCCATTTACCATTTAATGGGAGGAGCCAACTTAACATGAGCCGTGATCATAGATCATAAGAACATGTTTTGCTTTGTGTGTTTGTCAGGTGTGGCAGTGGGTCCGTCATCAGACCCGGCTGGAGGACGATGGCAGGGTGGTGAGCAGGCAGCTGGTGACTGACCTCATCAAGGAGCTCATCATGGACCTCAGTCCCCACTGTGGCTCTGTTAGGTAAGCAAATGCACCCTCTTTGAAGAGGATATGGTAGGCGAGTGGTTCCAGTGACATCCTTCATTGAAGAATACAATATATATGTTTAATGCCTTCTTAATGTAAATAATAATTCATTTTTAATTGACTGATGAATCCTGTGTCCCAGGATATTTGCACCAACTTTTTTGATTAAATGAGAGTTTTCACCATAATCTCAGCATGGAGAAGATTTGTCAAATTATGCTACTAATGCTTTTAAATGTCACAGAAAATGTGGAAAAAATGGAAAAGTGACAGATTTTTTATGGGATACCTTTCTATTGCTTCTTTTACTGCAGAAAGATTTAATGAAACCCAAGTTTGTCTTAGTCGCATGATTTCTTTTTTCTGTCATCCAATAATTTTTGTTGAGCCATAATCAACAAATATGCAGTTTGTTTCAAGAGTGTTGGTCAGGGTTGTGCAGAGATGTTTGAAGGGGGTGCTCAAAGTTAAAAGGGGCACATAGAACCAGGCTGAATAACAACAAACCACATTCATCAGGACTCTAATATGGAACTGCATCACAGAGTCATCAGTCATCAGCATACCTGCTGGGGTGCAATGTTGCTGCTGCTCCTGCGGCTGATAGTGCTGCAGGGCAGGGTTATGTTGATCTGAGACTGTAGACATTAAAAAGTCCACAGGAGAGATGGGAGCTGATTAAGCAAGTGTTATAAAATAATAATAAAATGTAAAGATTGGTGTCAGCACTTTGAACCATAAGGCAACAGATTGAAAAACTGTGAGAAATAAAGTGAAACTGGAATATTAGTAGGGCAAAGGAACGAGGTGGCCATAGTAGGGTAAGAATGTAACAAAAAACACATGCACATAGAACACACACAACACATACAGTATTCTCCAGAATACTGTATATACTATGGCCACAAGTTTGCATCCTGGTGCTCTGACATCAAGAGTGGGCATTGGTTAATAGTCATCAGGTCATCATGTGACTGATGCAAGCCAGGTCCTTTTATTTAGCTAAACTGTGATTAATTAGTAAAATGTTATTGTTGAGGTGCACTCCGAAATAAAGTAAAAAAGAAAAATGCTTGAAGAAAAAGGCACATGGAGCACCCATGTTCTTTTGATCCTCTTTTGCTAAAATTTGTTATATATATATATATATAAAAAAAAACATCCAGCACGCCCCTGCGGGCGGTTAATCCTTCAAGCTCGGGTCCTCTACCAGAGGCCTGGGAGCTTGAGGGTCCTGCGCAGTATCTTAGCTGTTCCCAGGACTGCGCTCTTCTGGACAGAGA